TTTAATTATATCGAAACGTGAAATTACATAAATACATCGTAACACCACCGATAATATACCGTAAAATGTTTCTAAATGGTTCTCACTTCGATCTCAGGCTGACTAATGGCAGCTCGATTTTTCTCATTGAACCTTGATAACAATTTTCCATAGATGAGAGTGTTGATTGAGCGTCATACGCGTGAAAGAATTTTTAAAAGATGGTGATAAGCTGGCGGGAAAAGGTGAATCACTTTGGTCGTGCTCGTATCTCCTCCCTTGCGGGAGAATCTCACGCATCTTATATGATTCATCGGTGTGGATCGTGCCATAACCACCTGTTCCACTCTTCAAAATTCGATTCTTCGACGTTGCGATAGTCATCTTCGTTTACTCTAAGAATTTGTACGTTTGGATTAGAGTAGAGTGGGGAAATTCTTGAGACTATTTACTCTCTTCCAATCGTGTAATATTATTTTTAAAATCTTCCAATCTTGACACAGTTCATCCTTGCTTGCTTTTTTTATTTTTAGATTAGAATGGAATATTGATACGTCTGGGAGGAAAGTTCTTGAAAATTCAAAGTTTCTTCTTCGAAATTAGATTCTTCGCCACGATTAAATGGAATCTCTGGAAAACTTTATTTAAGAACAGAATTTTAGCATTTTAAATTTCTCGTATGTGGATTACTACGTTCGAAATTGAAGAGAATTAAAGAAATATTTGATCTTCGAGTTGTAGAATACTTTTATCAAAGGTAGTAAAGTAAATTTGAGAATAAAATTCGAGGATATTTCCATTTGAACCAGAAATGAAAATTATTTGGAAACAAAAGCACATGGTACGAATTTGAGTTCTGAGTAGTATTGAAAAAAAGAACTTTTAAAGTAAAAAAGTCCTCGAGTTCGAAATTGATTTCATTCACAAGAACTTATGAATGAGGCATTTGTAGATAATCTTTAATAGTAGAATTTATTTACGTAATATTTGTCGTTTCCTATCAACTACTTTTACAACTTCCTCTGTATTTAAAAATACTCTGATACTTTTATCTTCTAGATAAAATAAATTATTTAAATTAAAATAAAATAGTAAAACATTTTATGCAATTATAATCTCTTAACATAATCGAGAACTCGTCAAGAACTCGTTATAAACAATACAATTTTAATTATTATACGCATTCGATGCAAAAAAAATTAAATCGTTTACATATCGTTCTTTATTCGATTGAATTAAATACCAAAATTTCTCTTTTCCTTCTTCGACGATCACTTCGTGCTTACAAAGAACTGTCAGAGCAGAAATTGTCGAGCAAAATTTTAAACAACTCGAGGATAAGATCTTGGAAATCGTTGTCAAAGATACACGTTTGAGGAATCGAGGAAGTGGACGAGGAGACCGATCCGCGTTTCCGCGTAAGACTCCATAAATAGTTTTAGAAAACGATAAAAGTGTTGCCCGTTTCCGTTCACGTTTCGCGGTTGTTATCGGGGCTGGAGAATACCACGCGTTTAAGTGGCTCGATAAAAGGCGTGAATCATAGCTGGCTACTCTCTCGTGTCGTGTCGTGAGAAAGAATTCGAGGGGGGGCACGTACGATCGAGGCTCGTTTCACCGATGCGGATCGTGCCCCGAATGGAAACAGGCTTCGTGACGATTTGTCGCCGCTCGCGTGTATATCGCCAAAACATCGGCCACGCTCGATCGAAATGGCCATATAATTCGGAATAATTTAAACGCCGTGATACGTGGCCCGACTTTCTCGAGAAGTGCTTGAAATCTTGCGTGGAATAATTTTATCGCGCCGTTAAAACGTGTTGTTTGTTCAAGCTTAATAGTCGCGAGACGGATTTATTCATTCTCTTATAGAGATACGAAATTTGATTTTAATAAAGTTTCGTTTTGTCCACGAAACGTATACGTAGTTCAAAAATATAATACGGTATAATTGTATTATTTAATTGTAAAAATAACGAATTTTTACGAACGCGGCTGGAAAATAGATAACACAATGCATAGATATTTTATTTTTGTATACAATTTTGCATAAATATCTAATAACGAATACAGGTGATATATATATATATGATTTATAACGTGATTAAATATTTATGAAAAATTTAAGTTATTTTCGTAAAATATAGTCAGTATTTAACGAAATTTAATAAAATGAATTATCTTTAACCGCACGTAGAGGGGAGAATGACTTGGAAAATTCGATTGATAGCGAGATCGAGGATAAGAGTCGATCGATTATACTTCCGGAAGGGCTCGTCACGCGAGCTTCTTCGCTATCGTTTCTTCCGGTTTCGGAAGAAACCGCGATGCGTCACGACTTTCTAATTCCCCGACGACTTACCGCGTCTAGGCGAATTTCATTTCGACGTCGCTTTCTAAACTCGTTTGAAAACACGTGCTTATTTCCCTTCCCCTCATCCTCCAATTTTTCTCTAAATAATCGATGGATTGTTCAACCAGCCAATCGATATCGTTCGATCGCGATTTGCTTGACGATGATCGAAAGATCCATCTTTAAAATCGAAACAAATGAACTATTGACAATAATTTTAAGGTATTAAATAAATTTAATTAAGAAAGATAAACTCATCGGTTAGAGACATCGTTTTTGATCGGAGAAATTTCGAGGCGAGTCTTTGACTCGATACGAGAATCATTTCCTAAAATCGAGCGGAAACTCGATCGCAATCTTGAAGCAAATAGTAGCTGGTGCGTTCGTTAAGTGTATTAAGTATAGTTGCAGGGACTGCTCGATTGAAGTGCATCTCGATTTAGACACGAGGAGGGCAACGTGCACCTAGAAACACGTACTTTAGATCTGTTCTCGAGCTCGATCGTTTTAATTCGATCGTTTGAGTGGCCCTCGATGATCTTAATTGCCAGTTCGCCTTACATTTTAGAATCGTTCGAATTATTGACTCGAATTTCAGAGATAGAGAATCAATTTAAAAGCTCGCAAGTTTTTAACAAATTATCTTCCTGCAATTATACATATCTGGAATATTTTCTGCTAAATTTTATAAAAACCATCCATTCACATCTTATACACACACACACACACACATCCCCTTAAAGATTCCTCCATCCAAACAAAGTTCAAATCTTCGCTTCGAGCGAATATCTTGCTGAAAAGAAGGGATAATTAAAATAATTATTAAAAGGCCGGCGGCTTAACAAACTTGCTAAATAAACCGCGATGACGAGAATCGAATGAAAGGGTAGAAATCCGTGGAGCGTAACTAGATTTGATAAGCTATGTGTAAGAGGAGGGGGGTATCCTCTTATAGAGCGTGTTCCTCCCAAGGTATGGCCGGCATCCTAATAGAGAGGAAGGCTGGGGATCTTTGGAACGGGGTGGGCAAGGTTCGACGCACCGGCCGCTATGCGAAACATCCGACCCAATCGAACTCTCCAACATATTCTAATCTCGAGGCCTTTTAATCTTCGCTCGGTCGGGGGACGCGTTATTTACGACGCCATTACGATCGAGATCTTTCGCGCTCTCGTTGCTCCCTCGCGATTCGTTATTTGACAAATAACACGGTGGAAATTCATTGGGCAACCATGTTGCGCGCGCAATTAATCGGGGGAAACGCCGTTAAATTAGGGATAAAGGATGCGGAAATCATTCTCTTTTTCGTCTTATTCGATAAGAGAATATGTTCGCTCGAGCGAAAAGTTCTTCTTTATTTGTTTACCAGCGTCAGAAAATATCGGAGTGAGGATCGAAGAAATATTCTTCTTCTTTCCCGTAATCGATTGGGTGTAGCAAGAATTTTATTTAAAAATTTGATAGTAGCGATCGAGAGTAATTTTGAAGCATGGAATTTTCTTCGTTATCGTGAAGATTTGTGGATTCGCATGTTCGATCGAAAGATTTATTGACCATTTTTCTGGAAATTTCTGATAGAAAATATTCCTATCTCTATATGACCACGAGGTCGAAAAATTGTTCCTTATATTTGTATAAATCCAGCATCGAAAATATCATCGGAGTAATAAGATTTCGACTTGGAAAATATATAGATTGGCGCGATACCGAAAATCGTCGACGTTCGATCGAACGTGATTGTCGTGAAACGATTTAAATACACGGTCGAAAACGGGTTAAACGGGTACACGAGCTCGGGAGTCGTGACATCCTTGACTCGAAAGTGAGTCACCCGAGTTACGCCACTCGTGACACCTAATCGTCCTTCTTGAGTTCAAGTTCAAGGTAGCCGTCTTACGAAAGGTTTCCGCCTTCGTGGAATCGGGTCAAAAACGAATCCGTGAAATGCTCGAAATTAGTGAAGATATTAATCGTGAACGCGGTTCGCCGCTGGTTCGAATCATCTATAGTTAGAGATGAATCATTCGAGCCAGTTAAACGAACGTTGTTTCGCGCGAAGCATTTTCAAATGCAAAGAAATCCGTTGGGAAACTGTTACGTAAGAATTCTGCGAATTATTATATCATTCGCTCGAGAAAATTTAATATCATGACCCATCGAATTCTCAGAATATTCCTTGTAATATTGATTTCGTGTTTCTCAATATTTTACTACTTATTACCTTTCTACTATTATTATATTTCATAAAACAAACAATATCAAACATCTCGATAATAAGAAATTAAAAGTTGTTTTGATGGAAAATTAAATCTTAACATTTTTGTTGCTTTTTTGATAACAGATATCTTAACTGATATTTACATTTCCTGTACGCGCCAACCAAACGTACTTTCACGTATCGTATCAATAACAAAAAAAAAAAAAAGTCAAACGCATCATCTCATCAAAAGATCATTAACTCAACGAGAAGGCGTAAAGATGTCCATCAACTACACTCTCGTTACATTAACCTTATCACGAGCAATTTTATTGCACGACGTATGACGCATCGAAATAAAAAAGAAAAAAATCTCAATTGCGTGATCGGTAATCGACCGTTTCGCTAAACTTTTATTCGAGCCGCGAAGGAGAAAGAAATAAGAAGTGAAGAGGGGAGAGAAGAGTAAAGGATCGTGTGGCGACTTGACAAATAAGTTTGACCCTCGAGTTTCGCGGTAAGGATGTCAATTAGATTCCGCGATGCCACGAACTCTGCACGCCGCCGTGCATCCCTTGTGCACCGTACACAATTCGCTCGATCATAGTACTCGCCACGACGATTACGTCACCGCCTAATGAATTGACTCGCGTCCCTCCAACCGCGCCGGATAACTGAATGGGACCGATTAGTCGTTCTCCATTCAACATCGATTCTCCCTATAAATCGGTGATTCCAGCTCTTTCTTCCAAATAATAATTCGTAAATAATTTTTTTTAAACCTCGAGCATAAAGTGGGCGGAGAATGATAGCAATACTTTGAGGATTATGAGTCGATGTACATTCAAGATCTGAAGCAGTGATCGAGTTCTTTTTTGCAAATATTCGTAAATATTTTTTTTAACGCGTATAAAATAGGTGAATAAGGAGAATTTAGAATGATACTGTTTGAGGATTATGTCCATTCAAGATCTGAAGCAGTGATTGCTCGAGTCTCTTTTTGCAAATATTCGTAAATAAATTTTTTGAAGCTATTTTGTGTAAAGTAGATAAGGAGAAGTAAGGAAATTGATTACGGTTTTTTTTTTTTTTGAGATAGAGGAAGTAGATTGACAGCAATAGTATTTTAATAATGGAAATCATTCTGATATCTTTACAACAACAATGTAATCTAATAACGAAGATTATCAACTAATAGAATAGAAATTTCACGTATACGTTTTTGAGACACGTCTTTAGACATTTGATAATTGGATACATTTCGATTCCAGTCTTGCAGTAACAGTAAACTATTTAAATGAGAGAAACTGTAAAAAAATTTCGTGACTCTCTTTTTTCAAAAGAGAAATGCTGATAAATATTGTAATCTAAGAAGAGATCTGCGAAGGGTATATACGATCTCGCTACAGAAAGGTGGAATTTTTGAAGCGGATATGGATTCAATGGAACGATCGATGAGGATTCCATATAAGGTCGGTATCGGTCCTTATCGAGACGGTTTATGAGTTCGTGGAAGAGTTAATCAAGTCGCGTTCTGATGCTTCAATGAGAACACTGCTTAATTATTCATCAGTTGCGACATCGTGGGTGGAAAGGACGTGTTAAGGTTGCATAGGAAAGACTCGCTTATTGCTAAAGAATCGATCATTTGGCGAGATCGTTCTATTATTTCAATTCTTACAATCCCGATTCAACAAGGACGGTCCATAAGACAGTTTAGCTTGAACTTTCACTTTCACCCCAATAATTCTTCCAAAATTCTCCTAATACTTCCTTATTTTAATATTTAATTAGCCTATATTTAATACCTTCGAACGACCAATTCGTTTCAAAATATTCACGAAAGAATAAGAAATTAAACATAATCGCAACGAGGGGGAAGAAGAAAATGAAAAAATTCCCCAATAAATCACCCAACTTCCTTCTTTTATCACTTCTCCTCCATCTTACTCAAATATTCAGGGGCGAGGCATCTCTCCTCGAAAAGATTCCCCTCCATCATCCTCTCTCTCTCTCTCTCTCCGTTGCACTACATCCTTCCCTGAGAACCGAGTCTCTCGTCCGTCCTCCCCCCCTCCTCTGCGATCGATGAATCATCGATTCCTCGGAACTGCTGCTATCTCCTCTCCCCTCCCCCTACCAAGTGCTCCACCGATCCGCGGGACCAGCTGATTCCTCTCTCTCTCTCCCTCTCTCTCCCTCTCTCACTCACTCACCTCGCCTCTGTTCGTGATAACGAGCGCACCGATGATAACGGGTATTTGTAGCAACGAGGGCACGAGCGAGGCGTTAGTCCGTCCACGGCTCGTCATCGAACGCTGCTCGACTCGATGCAACACGGAGGAGGCGAACCGAGCAAAGGCGCGTTTCTTCGGTGAACGGTGTGCGAATAGCGTGGTGTATCGGTTCGATCACCTTAACGCGCGTGTATATAAACGGTATATACGGAGCGTGGCGGTCGACAGTAGTGCGCGGTGAACCGAGGCCGACCGATCATTGTTGAATGATATATATACGGCTGCGAAGTTTTTATTTTTATTCCAAGTGAATTCGATCTAGATCTTTTTCCATCTCTCAACGGACGTGTAAATTTTTCTTTTTTCTCGTCGAACGTTTCAATTGGGAAGGTGCGAGGGTTTTTCCTCCCCTTTTTTAATTGGTATTTTTATATTATATGGTTTACAATTGGATTTCGACGGTGGATCGGGATCGTTCGACGACGAGGTGTCGCGATTAAAATGGCGGCTCGCGTAGTAGCTCGAGTTACCAAGTCGAGTACCGAGTTTTGGCGGGGATTCCTCGTTTTTTTTTTTTTTCGAAGCGATGACAGCGCGCGTCGGTTATACTTTTTAATTCGACTCGAGCCGATATAATTTCAAGAATTAAAAAATCCGCCCGATCCTATTCCCAGCTTCGAAAGGGAGAGATGGGTTTGGAAAGCGTCGGTGGCACGTGAACGAGTCGAAACGTTCGTGGATCGCGCAAGTTTTCGTTGCGTAACGCTTGTTGCGTGCGCCACTTCCGCATGGCCGGCTGCATAGAAATGCACGACGGAGAAGAGACGCGTCTCGACGCCGGCTGGGAGACAAAAGCCACGTGCATTCCTAACCTCGCACGCGAGACGATGGCGTGGCCGATACGTGACTTCCCCGGCCGGAAGCGGACGTTACGATTCTCGTCGCGAGCGGCTTCGTTGCATATACAAAAACCGGCCGCCCAAAATTGGCCGTTGGGCGACGAAAATAATCCTTGCCGTTCCTTATCGCCATCTCTTTTACGACCGATATTATCGCCGCTGATAAAGCCTCGCTGATAAACCTTTTTTTTTCTTTTTTTTTTTTTTAGTTATCTTTCTGTTTCTTGCGTTGCATCTATTATTATTATTATTATTATGACAATTTTATTTTTAATTTTTTAAATTTTTTTTTTTTTTTTTTTTGCTTGTAAATCCGAGAGATTTGATGAATTTGATGAAATTTAAGTTTTATGATTCCGATAAGTTAGAAAATTGAAAACAGGGAATGGATATAAATATTCTAGAATTTTATCGATCTTTAAATTTGAAATTCAATATCTAGATGGTTGATGAAAAAGAATATCTCGTTTTATAGCAGCTTTAAAAAAAAATTCTTTGATCTTTCTCGATCAAAACGATTAAAGAAGCTTTAATCGCGCGAGATAAAAATTTCTATCTGTAATTTCGTTTCTTCGAAATCCACCGCGTTTGTTCCGAATCTATTTATTTCCAAATCTTTAAATAACGAGCATGGATGAGATCTTCGATCGAATCGATTCTCAATCAATTTTCACACTTTCCTTCAATTATTGCACTTCAAAATATTTCAAACGCGGTGAAATTCGTATGATAAAATTTCCGACACGAAGTTGCGAACGCATACCCGTTCACAAGCGTCGTCTCGAGTATTTTACTCGAAGAAAACATCTTTTATTTGAACAGCTGTTCCCCAGAGAATTATTGTGAGAACCGTGGATATATCGAATCGATCGACCCGTTTACCTTGATCCTGCCCAAACAAAATCGTTATCTTTCGATGCAAGTTTTCGACAAGTTATCAAAACAATGCCCCCTCCCCTTACGAGTTCATCCTCCAATTTTCCTCCAATTCTAATTTAATCGAAACATCGAAAGATCTTCGATCTTAATCGAAAATCAAAGAAATTGTTTAAAGAACAAATTCATATCGGAGGAAAGGTATTTTTAATAAACTCTTCGTCTCGCAGTGTAATCGCAACGAGCAAAAGAAGCATCTGAATGTACTCCTATGATCTGTGAAAAAAGTCTCGTTGGAAAAAATCCCCCAAGGATTAGATGGAAGCAGCAAGAGATTATTAAATTGGGACGAGTGGAAACTAGCAGTAGAATCTAACGATCAATTTCGTCGAAACGATTCGCTCTGTGGTGGCTGTGGATCAAAATAGATTTATGAATGAGCGTCGACAGGGGACTGAACATGCTTCACAAGCATGGGAGCAGTAGGCCTCACAGCAGCCTGCTCTACAAGGGCAGGGGCGCCTTTCTCAAATCGGTGAGTACGCTGATTCTTATCCCGATCTCTGTTCTATTTTCTTTCCTTTTCTTTCCTTCATCCTTCAACATTTCCCTTCGAAAATTGAACGTTCCTTTCTTCGTTTCGTGTTACAGCATCTCGTTTCTCAATCAAAAATTCAACCTCCTTCCAAACATTCTTGTATCCGTTCATTTTCTTCTCCTCCAGTTTTAAAATTAAAAAAAAAACGCAATTGAAGCTTCGCACGATTCAACACGCGGTTCAAATCGTGTTGTTCGAAACGTTCGATAATTTTCGAAGGAAAATAAAAGGAAATATTATCTTGTTCTGCGTCTATACGCAATTTTATGCAACTTTGCTGGTGGAACTTGTCTACCAGTGTTGATTCAAGTGGGTATTATATACGAGTCGAGGGAAAGTTAGAGATACCAAGGAAGCAATTAAACGAGACGTCGTCGTCTCGTTATCGAGATCACAAGTGACAAGTTCCCTCGTTCGCGTAATTACGCATATTTTCGCGATGACTGTTTGACGCGTACGAATGACATCATATTCTATTTGAGTAGGTGTTGAGGGAGGGGGGAATTCAAAATTTTACAAATTAATCTCGGCTGAAGACGAAGTGACTCACCGATTCTTCGTTTGCCTCTGTCGCTTCTCTGCCTTTTCATTTATATATATATGTATGTATTTTTTTTTACGCTTTAATTGGTGTCGTTCGTTGACAAGAGCCAATGATTATTACGTCATTTCTCTGGAAAAGTGCTTAAAAGTTTCACAATGCTCTGTTAGTTTCGCGAATGAGATGGTTAAGAGTATTGGATAAAATCGTATCGATTAGCGATTTAAAAATAAATAAAAAATAACGATTTGTTCGGGAAATTTATGAACGTAGTATTGGAAAAGTCGTACAAGTGATTAAATTTAAATTTGTGCAGATATTCTTGACCGAGTCAAGAACTTCGATTTTTAATAAGATACAAAGTTACGTATTCGTTTATTTTTATCGTATCGCTTATTTTGTTGTTGAATATGAAATATGAGCGTATCTATATTTATTTATTTTTATCATGCCACTTATTTCAACGAGACTTATTTATTTTTATCGCACCACTTTGATTTTAATCGTACCAATATGAGTAATGCGTAAAAATTAAATTCGTGTTGTTCTACACACGGATAGAATTACACTTTATATTTTTATTCAAATTTAAAATTTTAAAAATTATGAACACCTTCTTTGCGATATAATCGGAGAATATTCTATTTCGGATAATTTAAATAAAATAACGAGAATGTCTTTCTCATTTCTAATACTGAATCATCTTGGAACAGGTGTCGCAATGTCTGTTGCAATTTATCGCCCCACACAAATTTTATTCCAGCCGAAGCCAGTAATACTTGAGAAAGATTTAAAGCCAACAAACGACGTGTCAACTTATCTAAATTCAATATTTCCTGCTTCGAAGCAAACAATCTATACCTACAAACAGAGAGGATTTTCATTGTATCAACCTGTTCTCCATTTCTACCTGCTTCAACGCAAACTACAACAAGCTTGGTAACCGTTCGAAATTTTTCATTTCCTTCAATTGAATTCAAAGCACAACAGATTCATTGCACAACGGAATGAAAATTTGATTTACAAAGAGATGTTCTTAAATTCCTAACCTAACTCGAAACTTTCAAAATGTTTTCTCTCTTAATAATTGTATCCAATCGTATTGCTTTATACAGTCACGTGACTACGCGAAAGAAACATGGACGCCACGGAGGGAAATTTTGATTGTTTCATAACCTCCTCTCTTATAATAATCGAAAAAATACGAGAGAATAATAATCGAATGCGATCGTCTTATCTGCAAGTATCGTTATCATCGATAAGAGAGTTGGACTTTACCATGGTGAACCGATGAGAACCTCTGAGAAAGAGCAAGATGCATCGTGTCTAATCAAAACGTCACAGCGTCTCTCGTATGCGTCATCGTTTAGGTCAGAAACGAGATTCGCGGTTGTAACATCTATCGGTCAATCAAAGTACCGCGTCACGATCCGTTACAACAGCGTGACATCATTGCGCTAAAACTACACGCGATGTCACACGCGTACGAGTCGTATACACACACACACACACATACGTGTACGCATATATCTGTATTCATTCTAGACATAATCGTCCTCCCCTCGCTGTCTGGGAATTACTGTTAACACGCGTTTCTTCTTCGAATCTGTCGCGTTGGTATACAGGGTGTTGTAAAAGAAAACTAATTTTTTTTTTTTTTTAATAACACTTTTTTCAATTTCTTCAATTTCTCTTTTCTCGCTCACTCGAAAACAAAACAAAATTTCACTTTTTCTTTTTCTTTTTTTTTTTACCATATTATATTTTAAACGGCAATTCATTCGTTAAAAATCGATCAAACTCGCTCGTTTTTTTTTTTTTAAATCGATTCGAAAATATATAAAGATTTAAAAACGATTTTTCAAAAGGATTCTGATTCTCGGATTCTTTCCAGTTAATTTTGAATAGTTACTTTTGTAGGACACCTTGTATGTACACATGTATGCACATCTATGCGTATGGATATAGTTACCGTTGGAACGGCGAAGAGAGGTCAGGTTTTCTAAGTTCGTAAGATGACTAATCGTTGTTTACTGTTGTGATGACTTCTGATTCGTGCTCGTGTCCGATTGTGATCGGAATAGCAAAGCGACGATCGCGAGGACAAGTGGATGATGGCTCGATTTCTCGAGCGAAGGTGAATGAAATGTGGGGAGATTGAGATGATGGGATGCAACGATCGATCTTAGGGAGATTTTAGGGAACTGATGACGTGGAAGTAAATAATAAAATAATCCATAATAACAAAAAACAAGATGAGATCGCGCCAAAGTAAGGGATGATAGTAATAGTTTCGATCGAAAAATTCACCATTTCGAATCGTTAAAATAATGGTGGAGGAAGAAAAATGAATTTTATCTTGTTGGAGATTCGAGTCGCAGTCTCGCAAACTCACGATTCAATACGCTCGTGTATGCAAGAATATCCACTTTCACTTTTCAGCAAAGGTTCATTCATTCATTTCTAACTAAATCTACGTGAAAGTGGGGGGGGAAAAAAAAAATGACTGCACAGGTTGTAAAGGGAATGACACAGCGTGTGCAATAATATTGACGTTTATTAACATACTGAGTAAACATGAAAATACTCCATGTCGTATTACTCAATGAAAATAATAGGATACGAAGAATCGTTGTGAATCATTGTTTCAACACGTTATAAACTTGACCGAGTGAGGAATGACTGAGATCTGTGCGTATTTTTTTTTTTCTTTTTTTCCTTTTTTTTTTTTTTTTTTACGAAATAACATTACATAAGATACGACACATATATTTAATTATATAATCGTATATAAAGTATCTTTAAAGATTAATTATAAATTAAAAACATGATTTGCAGACTCGTAAAAAATTACATTGTCATTAAGACATACAATTGCGTAACGATTTTTACATAAGATTCAAAAATTGATAATTTACTTTGAAGAAATAAAAAGAAAGAAAGAAAAAAAAAAAAAACGACTTTAAAGACTTTTAAAAAATATTTGTATTTCCATCGGTATAACATCATTATATATTCTATCTAAACCATGAAAAATCTCCAAAGACTGTTTACATTAAAAACTCTCGAATAAAATTTTTACTTCGATCATACTTCACATTCGTGGTGACAAACGTCACCATCAATCACGAAATAAAATAACTTCCAAATAGCTTTGCCTAACTTTTATTACAAATCCTGTGATATAGGATTGGCAGATCTTCGAAGGGCCCAAAAAAATTAATAAAAAAAGTCGAAACACGTTTCGTCACAGCGACGCGTTGTTCCTCTTGGAGTAGGTTTCGACGCCGCTTCTTCTTCGTGGCGCGCATTCCACGCAACTATTCCGACACGGTGACGCAAATCGTGTTCGAGCTGTTGCAAACGGGTTAACAGACCGCTTCTCGGTAGCGATTCGTCTCGTGCCGGTTCCTTGGCTACCGTGTCGCCGTTTCTTGGAACTGTTGCCTCGGCTCGCGTGCCCTCCTCCTCCAATTCCCCGATTGTTCGGGTAAAACGAGACTCGAATCGAATCTTGCGTAATCGATCGAGCGACGATTAAAAACGCGGAGAAAACGGCGGCGGGGCCGATTGTAATTGGATCGGATTGATTT